CGTTAAATGTAGGTCTCGAGGAAAGCCATAGGCAATTCTGCTGAGAAGACAGTGCAAGTGCCTATAAAAACGACAGTTGAGGGGAAAAACAAACCAATACCCGGAAAGCAGCTTTTTAATCGTCATAATTTTATGTCAAATAAAACACCACGTGGAAGGTATTGTAACCGCTGTTAAGTTTTTGCTCTGGTGGTGGTGTTTATTTTTAATACCCCCTGTAGCCGACTACTAGATTCACACCGCTAAAATTTCTATTTTATGTTTTGAGCAAAGTATTTTCCAGGAGGGCAAAGACAACTCAGCAAGTTCGAGGGGGAAAAAAATAGTAAAACAGAAACTGAGATTTGGCTTTGAGGACTTTCCACGTGAGTTCTCAACCAAAAATGGCCATATTTAAGGGCCGTCTGCACTTCCCTCCTCCGTTAAGACGGGCTGGGGAAAATTTAGCCACACTTCTGGAGAGCATAATGTCCCGTTCATTTTTGGCTTTTTGTTGCATTTACAGGTTAAAAATTCTTCATTCCTACTAGGCTGGTTAGACTAAGTGATCACATTAAATTGGCAGTTGTTTTACCTTTTTGCTAGTGTTTTTATTGGCGTAAATATTATAATTAAAATCATAAGTGTGCTGGCCAGACGCAGTGGCTCATGCCTGTAAGCTCAGAGCTTTGGGAGGTCGAGGCGGGAGGATCACTTGAGCCCAGGAATTCCGGACCAGCCTGGGCAACATAAGGAAAATCCCAGTTTCTACAAAAATGAAAAAAATTAGCCAGGCGTGGTGGCACATGCCTGTGGTTTCAGCTACTTGAAAGGCTGAGGTGGGAGGATCACTTGGGCCAGAAGATCAAGCTTGGAGTGAGCCCTGTCACACCACTGCACTCCAGCCTGGGCAATACAGCTGCAGGGTGAAAAAGTCCCTGCACGGCCACCACCCTCGAGACTGCCTCTTCTACCTGCGGGACTGGACTGCTCTTCGGCTCCAGAAGCTGCTACAGGACAATAACATCATGTTTAATACAGAGCCTCCGGCTGGGGGCCCGGGCAATCCCTGGAGGTGGCTGCCGAGTGATGGAGCAGAGAATTTGTTACAAAAACAAAGCAAAGCGAACCTCCTAAGTGTATTGATTTACGCTGCATTTAAATTGTCATTGATGTCATTAATTTGGACAGCATATGATTTTCCAGAGTTTTTTTTTTTTTTTTTTTTTTTTTTTTTTTTTTGAGACGGAGTTTCGCCCTTGTTACCCAGGCTGGAGTGCAATGGCACGATCTCGGCTCACCGCAACCTCCGCCTCCTGGGCTCAGGCAATTCTCCTGCCTCAGCCTCCTGAGTAGCTGGGATTACAGGCACGCGCCACCATGCCCAGCTAATTTTTTGCACTTTTTAGTAGAGACGGGGTTTCACCATGTTGACCAGGATGGTCTCGATCTCTTGACCTCGTGATCCACCCGCCTCGGCCTCCCAAAGTGCTGGGATTACAGGCTTGAGCCACCACGCCCGGCTTTTTTTTTTTTTTTTTTAAGAAAAAGACAAAATACTCCGTCAATGTTTATTAATTGTGGGTACAAGTTTTGTTTCTTTGTAAAACTCCACTACATTTAGTGATAATTATAAGATATCCAAGTCATTTACCTGTTTATTTATTCAGTCTCTGTATTAGAGTTCTCCAGAGAGACAGAACCAATAGGATAGATAAACAGATAGATATAGATAAAGATCTATGAAGAGACTTATTAGGGAATTGACTGAGGAAATTATGGAGACTAAGAAGTCCCATAACAGGCTGTCTGCAAGCTGGAGACTCTGGAATGCTGGTAGCTGGTTCAGTCCAAGTGGTGTAATCCTCAAGTCTCAAGGCTGGAGAGCCTGGAGTTCGGATGTCTGAGAGCAGGAGAAGAGTGTCTCAGCTCCAGAAAGGAAGAAATATTTTTTTCTCTCCTTTTTTGTTCTGGGTCCTTAGTCAATTGGATGGTGCCGACTTACACTGTGAGCAGATCTACCCCACTCAGTCCACTGACTCACATGCCAGTCTCCTTTGGAAATACTCTCAAAGATACCCAGAAATAATGCTTTACAAGTTCTCTAGGTCTTTCTTTTTTCTATTTTTAATATGAGACAGAGTTTCACTCTTGTTGCCCAGGCTGAAGTGCAATGGTGGGATCTCAGCTCACCACAACCTCTGCCTCCCAGGTTCAAGCGATTTTCCTGCCTCAGTCTCTTAAGTAGCTGGGATTATGGGCATACACCACCACGCCTGGCTAATTTTGTATTTTTAGTAGAGATGGGGATTCTCCATGTTGTCCAGGCTGGTCTTGAACTCCTGACCTCAAGTGATCCTCCCACCTTGACCTCCCAGAATGCTGGGATTACAGGCCCTCTAAGTATTTCTTAAACTGGTCAAGTTGACACCTAAAATTAACTGTAACAGTCTCCATAACTAAAACATTAAGTGCTTTAAGACAGAAACTATAACTGTGTGTTTTTTTTTTTGTATCATAGAATTTAGTATGTCATACATGTTATGATAAGTACATCCTCCACAATAACATAGGTGGCTGTGTACCGTGGTCCACACCTGTAATCTCAGCATTTTAGGAGGCTGAAGTAGGAGGATTGCTTGAGCTTAGGAGTTTGAGACCAGCCTGGGCAACACTGGGAGACCCTGTCTCTACAAAAAATTTAAAAATTGGCTAGGTGTGGTGGCAAGCACCTGTGGCAACTTAACTTGGCAGGTGGGTAAGGAGAAAAGAGATCAGATTCTCCCTGCAGGAATCTGGAATATGAGTTCAAATTAAGTAATTCAGACTTATGTAGAAGCCACTTAAACTGAAAAGGAAATACTTGCATTTAAACATCACTGTGCTGGCTAGGTATGGTGGCTTACACCTGTAATCCCAGCACTTTGGGAGGCTGAGAAGGGTGGATCACCTGAGGTCAAGAGTTGGATAAGGCCGGGCGCGGTGGCTCAAGCCTGTAATCCCAGCACTTTGGGAGGCCGAGGCGGGTGGATCACGAGGTCAAGAGATCGAGACCATCCTGGTCAACATGGTGAAACCCCGTCTCTACTAAAAATACAAAAAAATTAGCTGGGCAAGGTGGCACGTGCCTGTAATCCCAGCTACTCAGGAGGCTGAGGCAGGAGAATTGCCTGAACCCAGGAGGCGGAGGTTGCGGTGAGCCGAGATGGCGCCATTGCACTCCAGCCTGGGTAACAAGAGCGAAACTCCGTCTCAAAAAAAAAAAAAAGAGTTGGAGACCACCAGCCTGCAGCCTGGCCAACATGGTGGAACTCCATCTCTACTAAAAATACAAAACAGCCAGGTGTGCCAGCACCTGCCTGTAATCCCAGCTATTTGGGAGGCTGAAGCAGGAGAATTGCTTGAACTCCGGAGGTGGAGGTTGCCGTGAGCCGAGATCGCACCATTGCACTCCAGTCTGGGCAAAGAAGCCTGAGACTCTGTCACAAAACAAAAACGAAAAACAAAAAACCCACTGTGTAATGAGATGGGGCATGAGGACCAAAAACGAAGGAATACCCTGGGGCTTGTGGATTTTTCTGGTTGATTTGGCTGTAATCTTAGACTCCAGGGTTAAGACAAAACTACAGGTAATTGCCAATACATGTTCTATTATTGTGTTAATTTAACTTGTTGCCTAGATTCTTTAAGTCTTTGTTATAGGATGTGGTTGTTGATTCTGTTAAAGTACTGAGTAGCCTAATTTTGGTTTAAGTTCAACCAATTCATAGGAAAGAATTAATGCTGTGATTACACTTCTAGGGTAGCCTTTCAAGTATTTAACAGAATACATACCAAGGCAAGTTTATCTGATCCTGTTTTATGTATGGTATTTAGAGAGTGAAAATTACTCCCCAGGGGTATTGTAATTAGAAGGTAAGCATAAGGATAGAAAAAAATTATGACCCTTTATTCTAGAGTTATGCTCTCTGTGTGCCAGGGATGTGCTCTTACCACATTTGGCAGGGTTTTTTTCTTTTCTTTTCTCCTTCCTTCCTTCTTTCTCTCTTTCTTTCTTTCCTTTTTTTTTTTCTTTTTCTTTTTTTTTTGAGACAGGATCTCACTCTGTTGCCCATGCTGGAGTGCAGTGGGGTGATTATGGCTCACTGCAACCTCTGCCTTCCAGGCACAAGCAATCTTCCGCCTCCTGGACTCAAGCTATCCTCCCACGTCAGTCTCTCAAGTAGCTGGAATTGCAAAAACAAGCCACTGCCCTCGGCTAATTTTTGTATATATATATTTTTGTAGAGATGGGTTTCACCATGTTGGCCAGGCTGGTCTCTAACTCCTGGAATCAAGCTATCCTTCCACCTCCGCCTCCCAAACTGCTAGGATTACAGGCATGAGTCCCTGCGCCTGGCAGATTTGGCAGATTATTTAGGAGCTCTGAGACCATTCAGTTCTCAGAAAGACGTTTTACTAGTTTCTTTATGTGTGTATGTATATACAATCCACCCAGTTTTTTGTTTAGTCTCACACCATCCTAAAGATATAAAAAAAGCTTTGTAAATAAGTTGTATTAGCTTCCTTTTCCCCATTCCATAGAATTATTTTAATATTGATGCTGTACAAAGAGTTCATGCCTGGGGTACTAAAGGAAAGTTCTCAAGTTCTTTCTATTTTGATTTGCATCAAAAAGTCCACTTAATTTCAGGTTTCACCTCCAGGAGTCAATCATTATGGACTTAAGCCTATGGTGACATTTCAAGATAGGTTGTAATTCGCTTTCTTTGCTGGGTATTCTTTTCTAAGCAGGCTAATTTCTCTAGTTCAGAAACAGCACCCACTTATCGGTTACCCCTGGAGAGTCCTGGTACCGCCCACCTGGGGCGCCTACGAATCCTGGGCCTTTGAGAGTTGATGGACGGATCCGCGCTGCAAGAAGCCTTGCGGCTGTCACCATTGGGCATTGACAATTGGTTGAGGGGGAACGGCGCGGAACCAATGGGAGAGGTGGCTCAGGAGAGTCCTTGGAGCGCGCGGGAAAGAGACCGATATAAACTGTGGCGGGAGATTAGCTTTTGGGTCCTTGTCCAGTGAAACATCCTCGGCTGGGAAGTTAGTTGGTTATCTCCTCTCCTCTCATCTTGTTTGAATATGGTGCGGACTAAAGCAGACAGTGTTCCAGGCACCTACAGAAAAGGTGAGGCGATCGAGTGTAGCACTGGAGGGCGGCGGTGCTGGGGGCGGGGGTGTCCTCCTGGCAGCCTGGCCACGGGCGACAGACGCCAGAGGTCCCCCTGGGCCCGGTTTGCCAAACTCATCCAGCTAGCCATGGAGTGGCTGCCCGGCCCCTTTACCTTCAAGAGGAAGTCGCGGGGGCAGGGTAAGGTTATCCTGCTGTTCTGGATCGCCAGGTTCTCCTCTCCAAGCTGCTGGGTCCAGGACTCGGTGTCCGAATCCTTCTGCCCCTCTGAACGCCCTCTTTTGCCTCTCTTCACAGTGGTGGCTGCTCGAGCTCCCAGGAAGGTGCTTGGTTCTTCCACTTCTGCCACTAATTCGACATCAGTTTCATCGAGGAAAGGTAAGAAGAGCCCTCCTAAAATTAGGGGATCAGGGTTGGCACCTGCAAGACCCTGACTTGCATGAATTTCTCTTTCCTGAGGTCCTCACACCCTAATTTCTTCCTTGCCCTGTGATATAATGAGAGAGTCTGGACCTTTTGGCATGCTAGGGTAGGGGTGGTGGGGTATCATGGAAGAGAATCTCAATCCTTAAAGTTAAGGACCAACACAATTTATCTTCAAGCCTATTTTTCTTTTTTTAGACAGGGTCTCACTTTGTCGCTCAGGTTGGGGTGCAGTGGTGCAATCCAACTTTAGCCTCCACTTAGGGTCTTAAGCAATCCTCCCAACTCAGCTCCCAAGTAGCTAAGACTACAGGTGCCACCACGCCAGGTTATTTTTCTATTTTTTTGTAGAGATTGGGGTCTCACTATGCTGCCTAAGCTGGTCTCAAACTCCTGGGCTCAAATGATCCTTCCACTGTGATTACAGGTGTGAGCCACTGCAGCCAGCCTATCTGTTTTTCTCTTTTGGTTTAGTTTTTTTATTTTTATTTTTTGAGACGGCTTCTCCCACTGTCGCCCAGGCTGGAGTGCAATGGCACGATCTCGGCTCACTGCAACATCTGCCTCCCGGGTTCACATGATTCTCCTGCCTCAGCCTCCCCAGTAGCTGGGATTACAGGTACACACCACCACACACGGCTAATTTTTTGTATTTTTAGTAGAAATGGGGTTTCACTGTGTTGACCAGACTGGTCTCTAACTTCTGACCTGGTGATCTGCCTGCCTCCGCCTCAGGCGTGAGCCACTGCGCCCAACCATTATTTTTCTTAATGTTGACAGAGGCTATTTAAACATTGTTAGAGGCTATTTAAAAGTCCCCTCACTAGATTAAGAGTTTGAACAATCGTTTACAGTGCTAAGTGCTCATCGCAATGTCTACTAAACTTTTTTTTTTTTTTTTTTTTTGAGACGGAGTTTCACTCTTGTTACCCAGGCTGGAGTGCAATGGCACGATCTCGGCGCACTGCAACCTCCGCCTCCTGGGTTCAGGCAATTCTCCTGCCTCAGCCTCCTGAGTAGCTGGGATTACAGGCACGTGCCACCATGTCCAGCTAATTTTTTGTATTTTTAGTAGAGACAGGGTTTCACCATGTTGACCAGGTTGGTCTCGATCCCTTAACCTCGTGATCCACCCGCCTCGGCCTCCCAAAGTGCTGGGATTACAGGTGTGAGCCACCGCGCCCGCCATCTACTAAACTTTAACGAAAATGTTTGTTTGCTTGTTTTTCCTTTCTTCCTTATTCTTTTTTTTTTTTTTTTTTTGGAGTGTGATGTCTGTGTGTTTTCTCCAACTTTGCAGCTCCTGATACTGCCTTTGGGAGAGTAGGAGTGAAACCCAGCAAGGGAAATAGCTTCACACTGCTCCTTCTGTGTGTGGAGAGGATGAGAAAATGCCCTGCCATCTGGTGCCTCATTCCTTTCAGTAGAAGTTTGGCAGACAGGGAGATTAACACTACAAGATTTAGTTAAGAACGTAAAAGGGAACACTGTTTAGGACTTCATGAGTTTTTAAGTCAGTTCAAATTTCTCCGTGTTCGAAACATTTCATTAGAAAATATTTACTATTTGTGGCTGGGCACGGTGGCTCAAGCCTGTAATCCCAGCACTTTGGGAGGCCGAGCCGGGTGGATCACGAGGTCAAGAGATCGAGACCATCCCGGTCAACATGGTGAAACCCCGTCTCTACTAAAAATACAAAAATTAGCTGGGTGTGGTGGCACCTGCCTGTAATCCCAGCTTGGAAGGCTGAGGCAGGAGAATTGCTTGAACCCAGGAGGCGGAGGTTGTGGTGAGCCGAGATCGCGCCATTGCACTCCAGCCTGGGTAACAAGAGTGAAACTCCGTCTCAAAAAAAAAAAAAAAAAAAAAAATTTACTATTTCTATCTCTTCAGGTAAAAGGAAATAGAAGTTGATGAATTCTTTGAGAGTAACTTATGCCCTGTACCACTAGACTAAATTTTTCTTTTTTTTTTTTTTTTGGCAACAGGGTCTCTCACCCTGTCGCCTGGGCTTGAATGCAGTGGTGTAATGACAGCTTACTGTGGCTTTGACCCCAGGGCTGAAATGATCCTCCCACCTCAGGTTCCTCCCAAGTAGCTGGGACTGCAAGTACATGCCACCACACGCCCTGCTAATTTTTGTATTTTTTTGTAGGGACGGAGTTTCACCATGTTGCCCAGGCAGGTCTCGAATTCCTGGGCTGAAGCAATCCTCCTGCCTCAGCCTCCCAATGTGCTGGGATTACAGGTATAAGCCACCATGCCTGGCCTAACTAAATTTCATTAGAGTCACATCCCATTGTTTGGTCCACTGTTGAATCACCAGAGCCAACTGAATAGGTCCTTACTGAACATACATTGAATAAATACATCCTTTAAGGCATTTAACAGATGTCTATTTTTTTTTTTTTTTTTTTTTTTGAGACAGAGTTTCGCTCTTGTTACCTAGGCTGGAGTGCAATGGCGCGATCTCAGCTCACCGCAACCTCCGCCCCCTGGGTTCAGGCAATTCTCCTGCCTCAGCCTCCTGAGTAGCTGGGATTACAGGCATGCGCCACCATGCCCAGCTAATTTTTTGTATTTTTAGTAGAGACGGGATTTCACCATGTTGACCAGGATGGTCTCAATCTCTTGACCTTGTGATCCGCCCACCTCGGCCTCCCAAAGTGCTGGGATTACAGGCTTGAGCCACCGCGCCCGGCCCTGATGTCTATTTTTAATCCCAATAATTGAATGTATGAAATTGGTAATATCCTTATTTTAAAGATAAGAAAATTTAGTCTTTGGTTATATAGCTTGATAAAGGTGACACAACTAAATCAGCAGAGTTGGGTTTGAATCTCTTGCTGCTATTTGTTTTCTAGTAGTAAAAGGATTCCTGTAAGGTACCTTTGGGAAAACTGTGAACCAAAAGATCACTATCTTTTATAGGCCATTTGTACTTTTTAAAAAGTACAACCTGGGCATGGTGGCTCACGTTTGTAATCCCAGAATTTTGGGAGGCCGAGGCAGGAGGGTTGCCTGAGCCCCAGAGTTCAAGACCAACCTAGGCAACATGGCAAAACCTCATTGCTGCCGGGCGTGGTGGCTCAAGCCTGTAATCCCAGCACTTTGGGAGGCCGAGGTGGGTGGATCAGAGGTCAAGAGATCAAGACCATCCTGGTCAACATGGTGAAACCCCGTCTCTACTAAAAATACAAAAAATTAGCTGGGCATGGTGGCACTGTGCCTAGTAATCCCAGCTACTTAGGAGGCTGAGGCCGGAGAATTGCCTGAACCCAGGAGGCGGAGGTTGCGGTGAGCCGAGATCGTGCCATTGCACTCCAGCCTGGGTAACAAGAGGGAAACTCCGTCTCAAAAAAAAAAAAAAAACAACCTTATTGCTATTTTCATAGGTATAAACAAATAAATAGCTACAAACATGGTAACTTTCAGAGTTTGTATGGAAACAACTTCTGTAAGCTTTCTTTAACAACTAGAGTTGTTAAAGCAAATGTTTTAGTTTAAAGCAAAACATATGTAGTAACTGAACAATTTGCTCCTGGCCATTACTTTATAAAGAGGCAAGAATTTTCCATCAATCTCCTTGTACTACTGTTCAAAAATAACCAGGAATTGGCCAGAAACGGTGGCTCATGCTTTTAATCCCAGCACTTTTGGAGGCTGAGACCAGCCTGGCCAACACAGTGAAACCCCATTTCTACTAAAAATACAAACATTAGCTGGTGTGGCGGTGGGCACCTGTAATCCCAGCTACCCAGGAGGCTAAGGCAGGAGAATTGCTTGAACCCAGGTGAGCTGAGTGCAGTGAGCTGAGATCATGTCACTGCACTCCAGCCTGAGTGACAGAGGTAGATTCCATCTCAAAAAACAAACAAACAAAAACAAAACAAAATAAAACATAACAAAAGCCAGGAACTGGATTTCTGTTATGAACTGAAAAGGAGACAAGTGCTTTGAAAAATGGAATCTACTTTTGTAGAGACTTTCACATTGCTTCTTATATGTGCTTTAACTAAATGACCTTAGTAAGTAAAATGTTGGCACTTTATACTATATCATGCTATCTTATATTAGGAAAAAGTGTGTCAAGCTTTACTATGTCAGTACATACAAGAATATTTGAATAGTTCTACTTGTGGACAAAATATAAAAATATTTTCAGTTGTAAAAATTCTGTTACTGCTGTTTTTGCTAAGATAACCGTCAAACTGAATTTCTTGTTTGAATGCAGCTTTTGTGTCACATTTTCTAGTTCTTTAAAAGTTGTATCAGTGGCTCACGCCTGTAATCCCAGCACTTTGGGAGGCCGAGGCGGGTGGATCACGAGGTGAAGAGATCGAGACCATCCTGGTCAACATGGTGAAACCCCATCTCTACTAAAAATACAGAAAATTACCTGGGCATGGTGGCGTGTGCCTGTAATCCCAGCTACTCAGGAGGCTGAGGCAGGAGAATTGCCTGAACCCAGGAGGCGGAGGTTGCGGTGAGCCGAGATCGCGCCATTGCACTCCAGCCTGGGTAACAAGAGCGAAACTCCGTCTCAAAAAAAAAAAAAAAAAAAAGTTGTATATCTTAAATAAAGATTAATACCTTTGAGAATTTGATGTTAAAGAAGGAATTATGTTGTTTAAGGAATGGCGATTGTATTCTTAGTTCTTATCTAGTTCCATCTGTTTATATTTTACAGCTGAAAATAAATATGCAGGAGGGAATCCCGTTTGTGTGCGCCCAACTCCCAAGTGGCAGAAAGGAATTGGAGAATTCTTTAGGAGGTCCTCTAAAGATTCTGAAAAAGAGAATCGTATTCCTGAAGAGGCAGGAAGCAGTGGCTTAGGAAAAACAAAGAGAAAGTAAGTTTTTATATTCTAGAATATAAAGACATTATTTATCTCATGCCTATAATCCCAGCACTTTGGGAAGCCAACATGGGGTAATCACTTGAGGCCAGGAGTTCAAGACCAGCCTGTCCAACGTGGTGAAACCCTGTCTACAAAAAATACAAAATTAGCTGGGCACAGTGGTGCACAACTGTGGTCTCAGCTACTCAGGAGGCTGAGACAAAAGAATTACTTGGTGCAGTAAACCACCATGCACAGATATACCAATGTAACCAACCTGCACGCACGTTCTGCACATGTATTCCATTTTTTTAGAAGAAAAAAATTAAAAAACAATAATTTCCATGAAAAGAAAGCAAAAAAACCAAAAAGAATCACTTGAACCTGGGAGGCAGAGGTTGCAGTCAGCCGAGATTGAGCCACTCCACTGCAGCCTGGGGGACAGAGTGAGACTCCACCTAAAAAAAAAAAAAAATTAATAATTAAAATTAATAAAGAAAATATTTGTCTTGTTGAAAATAAAGGACAAATAAGATATTGAGTTGCTTCTCTTCAAGCTGATAAGAAAATGCAAAAAAAATTTTTTTTAACTCCTACTAATTTCTTATTATAACTCACTCCAAAATTCTTTTTTTTTTGAGACAGAGTTTTACTCGTTACCCAGGCTGGAGTGCAATGGCGCGATCTCGGCTCACCACAACCTCCGCCTCCTGGGTTCAGGCATTCTCCTGCCTCAACCTCCTGAGTAGCTGGGATTACAGGCACGCGCCACCACGCCCAGCTAATGTTTTGTATTTTTAGTAGAGACGGGGTTTCACCATGTTGACCAGGATGGTCTCGATCTCTTGACCTTGTGATCCACCCGCCTTGGCCTCCCAAAGTGCTGGGATTACAGGCTTGAGCCACTGTGCCCGGCCTTTTTTTTTTTTTTTCCCTAAGATGGAGTCTTGATCTGTTGCCCAGACTGGAGTGTAGTGACACAATCTTGGCTTACTGCAACCTCTACCTCCCGGGTTCAAGCAATTCTCCTGCCTTAGGCTCCTGAGTAACTGGGATTACAGGCATGTGCCACCACCCCCAGCTAGTTTTGTATTTTTAGTAGCAATGGGGTTTCACCATGTTGGCCAGGCTGGTCTCGAACTCTTGACCTTGTGATCACCCACCTCGGCCTCCCAAAGTGTTAGGATTACAAGCATGACTGTGCCCAGCCACCAAATTTCAAACATTAGTAAAAAGTATTATTTTTACTCATTCCAATCTCTCAAAGGGGATCAGTTCCCATTCACATAAGTGATACATCATTAACTTAGTGTATTGAGGCTTTAATTTTTACTGTCTTTTTCCTTTAGTCTTACAATGCAATTTCCATGTTGGTTTATCTAGCTTGAATTCCATTAATCCTGCCCCTTAAAAAACTACCAGTTCAACTTCCACAAGAAATATATAACCAGGCCAGATGCAGTGGCTCATTCCTGTAATCCCAGCATTTTGGGAGGCTACAGTGGGAGAATCGCCTGAGTTGAGGAGCTCCAGACCAGCCTGGGCAACATGAAACCCTGTCTCCACCAAGAGGATGGTGACAACGCCTGTAATCCCAGCCACTTGGGAGGCTGAGGTGGGAGAATCTCGCTTGAGCCTGGGAGGCGAAGGTTGCAATGAGCAGAGATTGAGCCACTGCACTCTAGCATAGGTGGCAGAGTGTCTCAAAAATAAAAAAAAAAAATGACCAATGTGGAAAAGTTGGAAAATATAGAAATCCCTACCACCTAGAAACAACCAAGACTAAGACCATGGTGTATGGTCTTTACAACTTCTCTAGAAGTATATAAAAATAGTAAAAAACAAAAGGTAGGGATAAAACACACACAGAGCTCGGTGTACAAACTTAAAAAAACAAAGTTTCTGCGTTTCATCCATTTTATTTCATGAATATCTCATTCCTTTTTTTCTTTCTTTCTTCTTCTTTTTTTTAATGGGAGGGTCTTACTCTGTCACCCAGGCTGTAATGCAGTGGCCCAATCTTGGCTCACTGCAACCTCCGCCTCCTGGGTTCAAGTGATTCTCCCATCTCAACTTCTAGAGTAGCTGGGATTACAGGCACATGCCATGGTGCCCAGCTAATTTTTTGTATTTTTGGCAGAGACGAGGTTTCGCCATGTTGCCTAGGCTGGTTTCGAACTCCTGAGCTCAAGTAATTTGCTTGCTTTGGCCTCCCACTGTGCTGGTATTACAGGCATAAGCTGCCACACTCTTGCCAGTGAGCAAACTTAAGAATCTAATTAAATCATACCATTTAAACTTTTAATAACAGGAAAATTCTCATAATAAATGTTAAGCCAAAATTCTGGGTACAAAAGTACAATCTTTACTATGTAAATACATGTGTATGTACTATATGAAAATATACCAAATATCAACAATGCTTATCTCTGGGTAAAAACCTATTCTTATACTCTGTGCTACCAACTTTTAACAACAAACATGCATCACTTTTTTTTTTTTTTTTTTTTTTTTTCCGGGATGGAGTTTCGCTCTTGTTGCCCAGGCTGGAGTGCAATGGCGCGATCTCGGCTCACTGCAACCTCCGCCTCCCGGGTTCAGGCAATTCTCCTGCCTCAGCCTCCTGAGTAGCTGGGATTACAGGCATGTGCCACCATGCCCAGCTAATTTTTTGTATTTTTAGTAGAGACGGGGTTTCACCATGTTGACCAGGATGGTCTCGATCTCTCGACCTCGTGATCCACCCGCCTCAGCCTCCCAAAGTGCTGGGATTACATGCTTGAGCCACCGCGCCCGGCCAAACATGCATCACTTTTAAGAATCAAGAAAAAGTCCTGGCTGGACGCAGTCTGTAATCCCAGCTCTTTGGGAGGCCAAGGTGAGCAGATTACCTGAGGTCAGGAGTTCAAGACAAGCCTGACCAACATGATCAAACCCCATTTCTACTGAAAATACAAAAATTAGCCAGCTGTGGTGGCAAGCACCTGTAATCCCAGCTACCCAGGAGGCTGAGGCAGAAGAATCACTGGAACTTGGGAGGCAGGGGCTGCAGTGAGCTGAGATTATGCCACTGCACTCCAGCCTGGGCAACAGAGCAAGACTCTCTCAAAAAAGGAAAGAAAAAGAAAAAAGAAAAATTCCAGAAGGTCATATGGGACAGAAAAAAATCATGCCATTTGGGAAGAAAAGACTCAGGGCCGGGCGCGGTGGCTCAAGCCTGTAATCCCAGCACTTTGGGAGGCCGAGGCGGGTGGATCACGAGGTTAACAGATCAAGACCATCCTGGTCAATATGGTGAAACCCCGTCTCTACTAAAAATACAAAAAAGTAGCTGGGCATGGTGGCACATGCCTGTAATCCGAGCTACCCAGGAGGCTGAGGCAGGAGAATTGCCTGAACCCAGGAGGCGGAGGTTGCGGTGAGCCGAGATCGTGCCATTGCACTCCAGCCTGGGTAACAAGAGCGAAACTCCATCTCAAAAAAAAAAAAAAAAAAAAAAAAAGATTCAAAACCTGCCTTTTTATAGATTTGTAAGTAATAAGGTCCAGGCTTTCTAAACAACTTTTAAATATTTTGTTTCAAAACAAAGTATTTTCCTGGATATAGGAGGAAAGGGAGTGATGTCACTGTCATTATGATGCCCCTTGAATATAAGACGCTACTTGCTGCCTCCCCTGCACCAGCAAGGAGCCACCCATCCTCCAGCACAGTGAGCAGCAAGCTGGATACATGACACAGTGACCCACATGGATAAGGGGATGGTGGTCATGCTGAGTCTCGGGTTGCTGCTCCATTTGTTCCTTTAACCAGCACAATGGAAGCTACTGCAGCTGAGACCACAAAGCCCTCCCACAGTGCCCTACAGCCTATAGCCAGTCTCCTTATGATCTTGTTTGCCCTTCTACATCTCTACCATTAAGAGACAGGTCAAGAAATAGCTACAGTTCTCCAACTCATAGTCTAAAACCCAATTTGAATGGTGCCTGGAAGTTCAGTATGGCAAGGAAAAAACAAGGTCTTCATCAAATTTACTAATTTCACTCCTTATTTTATTAACAGAGAAATGCTTGAGAGTTTCAAACTGGACTGGTTTAAAGAGCATTTGAAGGATTTGACTAGATGATAAATGCCAATATTAAATCTGTTGGAGTTTCATATATAAGACAGAGGAGAAAGATAACATCAAAAATTAGTTAACGAGTTCATTAAATGTGGCTAAGAAATATGGACACATAAAACCATCACATCTCGTGAAAAGAAAAAAGAAAAAAAAAAAAGAAATGCAGACACTTAAAACTCTATCCTGAAAAAAAACCCCAATTTTTTGATAATAATAATTTCACCTTTGTCTAGAGAAAAAGGATGAGCTATGGAATGGAGACTCAGTATTCATTTTAGTTTGTTCAATCTAAAAGGCTGTAAAATGATTAGGTAATATAGAAAGCTTTCATGTGCATTGGAAGAAACTACCAGATGTTACTGTAAATATTCTATGGATTGTTTCAGCCATCCTAATTTAATGCTGATATGCTCTAGATTTACATTGCTAGGCTTTTACTCTTCTTTTGGGCACTTAACTCTTTAGGGCTTTGGATTTGCCATTGCATTTTACTTTCTATGTGGTAATTTGAAATGTGCCAGAGCAATGATAGACTGGAATCCACTCCAAATCCAAGCATGACTAATTCTTGCATATACACTTAAAAGTGAAATAGTAGGCATTTCCTACCACCCATTCCAATTCAACAAGAACGCCAGATTTATTTAGTTACTGTACTTACCTTGATTCCAAATACTAGAAGTGCATTGACTTCAACTAATCTTAAAATACTGCCTTTTTATATTAGTATATATAGAATAATTTTCACAACTTAAAAACTGATTTTTTTTTTTTGTACAGGAGGTAGGTTAAAAGATTGATCTCTTTTGAAGCATATTTGATTAATTTTGAAATTAAAAGGAGACTTTGTACATGTTGAATAATTTTTACAACTTAAAAATTGATCTTCTTTTAAAGCAGGAGGTAGGTTAAAAAACTTGATCTGGGCCAGGGCATTGGCTCATGTCTGTAATCCTGGCACTTTGGGAGGCTGAGGTAGTCAGATCACTTTGAGGCCGGGAGTTTGAGACCACCCTAGGCAACATGGTGAAACTCTGTCTCTACTAAAAATACAAAAATTAGCTAGGTGTGGTGACACACACCTGCAATCCCAGCTACTCAGGAGGTTGAGGCATGAGAATCACTTGAACCTGGGAGATGGAGGTTGGTGTAAGCCAAGATTGCACCCCTGCACTCTAGCCTGGGTAACAGAGCAAGACTGTCTCAAAAAAAATTGATCTGTTTTCAAGGCATGTTTGATTAATCTTGAAATTAAAAGGTGGGCCGGGCACGGTAGCTCACGCCTGTAATCTCAGCACTTTGGGAGGCCAAGGTAGGCGGATCACCTGAGGTCAGGAGTTCAAGACCAGCCTGGCCAACATGGTGAAACCCCATCTCTACTAAAAATACAAAAATTAGCTGGGTGTGGTTGCGTGTACCTGTAATCCCAGCTAATTGGCAGGCTGAGGCAGGAGAATCACTTGAACTCAGCAAGCAGAGGTTGTAATCACTTGAACTCAGCAGGCAGATCTCAGTGGCCGAGATCCCACCACTGCACTTTAGCCTGGGCAACAGAGTGAGATTTCATCTCAACAACAACAAAAACAAAAAGTGATATAAGCAAAAGAACAAATCTGGTTCTGTATTTGCAAAGTAAAGACCAGAAATTTGTCTGCATTAAATTCTCAATGCTTTTGTGCTCTTTTTGTAAATACTTAAAAAAAAAAAAAACTTTTTGAGTCTGATTGGCTACATTTGGGACACTTTCTATATTAGTCAATATTTTTAGACAGAGCCTGGGCCTAACCGTAAGTGGACATAATTCTGATAAGTAAAACTTTTACAACTGCCATGATATATAGAAGCCTTTTTGAAATAGAGACTCCAGGCTGGGCGCAGTGACTTATGCCTGTAATCTCAGCACTTTGGCAGGCCAAGGTGGGCGGATCACCTCAGGTCAGGAGTTCGAGACCAGCCTGGCCAACATGGCAAAACCCTGTCTCTACTAAGAATAAAAAAAGTTAGCTGGGCGTGGTGGTGGGCACCTTTATCCCAGCTACTCCAGAGGCTGGGCAGGAGAATCTCTTGAAGCTGGGAGGCAGAGGTTGCAGTGAGCCCAGATTGCGCCATTGTACTCCAGCCTGGGCAACAGAGCACCATCTCCAAAAAAAAAAAAAAAAAAAAAAAGAAGTAGACATGGTGGCTCATGCCAGTAATCCCAGCACTTTGGGAGGCTGAAGCGGGAGGATTGCTTGAGCCCAGGAGGTTGAGACTAGCTTGGCCAACATCTAAGACCATGTGTCTACCAAAAAAAAATTAGCTGTTCATGGTGGTGTATACCTGTAGTCCTGACTACTCTGAAGGCTAAGATGGGAGGATCGCTTGAGTCCAGGCATTTGAGGCTGTAGTGAGCTATTATTGTGCCACTGAACTCCAGCCTGGGTGACAGAGCCAGACTGTGTTTCTGTTTAAAAAAAAAGAAGGACACTCCATGAAATCTTTGGTTCACCTGGTCACACACTGATGCTTAGTTGTTCCTGTATCCCATATGGCCATAGTAGCTTTAATAAGTCTTAAGCCGATATTTGCCATCTTTAGAAACTTATATGAGAACAAGAAGATCTAACAGATCTTGACCTATGGTATCCGTGACTGAACAGTCCCTTTTGCTTATTTGTACACTCTGTATCTGTTACATCTATTTTGGATTGTATGTTGTGTTTTGAATGCATTTGCACTGAAAACAAATTAGATCAAAATAAATGACTGAAAGAGTAATTAAAACAAAGTAATTGACATATGAAAGCATATAAAATATTAACAATTTTATTAATTACAAAAATTAGCCAGGTATGGTGGCACACACCTGTGATCTTAGCTACTGAGGAGGCTGAGGCAGGAGAATTGTTTGAACCCCGGAGGCAGAGGTTGCAGTGAGCCAAGATGGCACCACTGCACTCCAGCCTGGCGAGAGAGTGAGACTCTATCATACACACACACACACACACACACACACACACACACACACACACAAAAAAAAAAAAGTATCATGAATACAAAATGACTTTTTTGGGGGATGATGTAAATTATTTTTCAAAAGCTACAACTATTCTATACTAACAAACAAACAATTTTGGGGCTTTTCCTTTTTCTTCTTCTTTTTTTTTTTTTGATGCAGAGTCTTGCTGTTTCCCAGGCTGGAATACAGTGGCACGATCTATCATGACTCACTGCCATTTTGACCTACTGGGCTCAATGATCCTTCTGCCTCAGCCTCCTGAGTATCTGGAACACCATGACCAGCTAATTTTTTTTTTGAGACAGGATCTCTGTTGCCTAGGCTGTAGTGCAATGGTTCAGTCTCAGCTAATTACAACCTCTGCCTTCCAGGCTCAAGTGATTCTCCTGCCTCCCAAGTAGCTGGGATTACAGGCACACACCACTACCACTTGGCTAATTTTTGTTTTTGTTTTTTTTTTTTTTTTTTTTGAGACGGAGTTTCGCTCTTGTTACCCAGGCTGGAGTGCAATGGCGCGATCTCGGCTCACTGCAACCTCCGCCTCCTGGACTCAGGCAATTCTCCTGCCTCAGCCTCCTAAGTAGCTGGGATTATAGGCATGTGCCACCATGCCCAGCTAGTTTTTTGTATTTTTAGTAGAGACGGGGTTTCACCATGTTGACCAGGATGGTCTCGATCTCTCGACCTCGTGATCCACCCACCTCGGCCTCCCAAAGTGCTGGGATTACAGGCTTGAGCCACCGTGCCCGGCCTTTTAATTTTTGTATTTTTAGTAGAGATGGGATTTCTTTTCTTTTCTTTTCTTTTTTTTTTTTTAATTTTTGTTTTTTGTTTGTTTTTTCTTGCAACAAATCTTGGCATGGATAGAGATGGGATTTCACAATGTTGGCTAGGCTGGTCTCAAACTCCTGACCTCAAATGTTCCATCCAGCTTGGCCTCCCAAAGTGCTGGGATGACAGGCATGAGCCACTGACTCCGGCCTGATTTTTTATTTTTTTGTAGAGATGGGGGTGTCACAATGTTGCCCAGGTTGGTCTCCACCTCTTGGGCTCAAGTAATCCTCCTGCCTCATCCTCCCAAAGTGCTGGAATAACAGGTGTAAGCCACTGTGCCTTGCCAATTTTCGGGTTTTTCCTAATTAGTTAATGTAATCATATGGTTCAAAGGAGTTACATATAGTCAAAGGACAACTTGCTATAAGTTTTCTCTGCTAAAGTGGATTGGTTAATTTTTTTTTTTTTTTTTTTTGAGATGGAGTTTCCCTCTTGTTACCCAGGCTGGAGTGCAGTGGCTCAATCTTGGCTCACTGCAACCTCCGCTTCCTGGGTTCAAGCAATTCTCCTGCCTCAGCCTCCCAAATAGTTCTGACTATAGGTGCACACCACCAAGCCCAGCTAATTTTTTATTTTTTTTTTTAGTAGTGATGGGGTTTCACCATGTTGTCCAGGATGGTCTTGGTCTCTTGACCTCGTGATCTGCCCACCTCAGCCTCTCAAAGTGCTGGGATTACAGGCATGAGCCACCGTGTCTGGTCTGGATTGATTATTTTTTTTTTTTTACTTTTTGTTATCACAAAGTTCTTGCTGAAGGATTATATTGTTTATCGATCCATTTAATAACATGTTGAAAGAATATGCTATATAAATGAATTAATTACCCTTTTAACAAAAATGACAACATAGTCTAAAGGAGAAACACTGATTCTGCAAATTAACAGGCAAATTGTTAAAAATTTTGTTGCATTAATACTTGAAATTTGTGTTTGTTAATTAATGAAGTTTAATTTTCTTTCACTTCTAGTTATTTGACCAGACCTACTGCACTGTTAATGTTCCTGATTTATATAGGTTTGTAACTATGTTTTTCCAACAGTTGATACTTGGATGACTATTGATATTCTCTCTTCTTTTCACAGAGCATGTCCTTTGCAACCTGATCACACAGATGATGAAAAAGAATAGAACTTTCTCATTCATCTTTGATTAACATCTCCTTGTTTACTCTGGTATTCTAGAACGTAAATTTACATAAATGTATTTGCTCCAATTAGCTTTGTTGAACAGGCATTTAATTTAAAAATTTAGGTTTAAATTTAGATTTTCAGAAGTAGTGAAATTGGAAAATTTGTAAGACTAATTATGGTAGCTTAGTATTCAATATAGTGCATTATTGGGTTTCTTTTACCAAATTAAGTGTCTTGTTGCTAAAATCATTCATTGCATTGTGTTCTGATTACAAGTATGCTATATTTGAGATTTGCTTAGATTGTTGTACTGCTGCCATTTTTATTGGTGTTTGATTATTGGAATGATGCCATATTGTGACTCCTTCTATTTGCTTTAAAAAGCAGAGTTAGATTTTCGCATATTAAAAAAAATTCAGTATTAATTAAACATTACTTACTTTACCCTTTTTTCATTAAGGAGGACAAAGATGCAATGTTGAAAAACCTTGAATGGATATCTTCTCTTTAAAAAAACTTAAAAACAATTTGGTCTTGCGGGTTTAAACAGTTGATAACGCCTCTACAACAACAATAACAAAAAAGATAAAATACTAGGATAGAATAATGGTGGGCATAGTGGCTTCTCAGGAGGCTGAGGAGGGAGGTCTGCTTGAGTCCAGGAGTTGTAGACCAGCCCAGGCAACATAGTGAAACCTTGAATCTAAACAAAAGGAAAAATATGTATATGAACAATAATAATAAATTAGCCCAGCATGGTGGCACACACAGTGGAACCAGATTCCATCTCTTTAAAAAAAGAAATTTTCCTAGGATATGCATTTGATTCATGATCATAAAATATAACTTTAAAGTTGGAAGTCATGTTATAGCAACAGAAAAAAAAAGAAAAATAAAAAAATAAAGTTGGAAGTCAATATAATATGAAAGGCAAATCATGCCATAAATCCATAGGCATTTCAAAAGTCTTCAGAACTGCTATGACATTTTTCAACATAACCAGAGGTATAATTGAAGAAGTGGGTATAATATTCCTCATCACACTTTTTCCAGTAGCCTGTTGTCAAAATTAATCATGTTTTAGTAGGCATATTTTTCTGAAATATGTTTGTAATAAATGCATACTTATTTTTATAATACACTATCCATTTGTGTTCTTCCTAAAGTTATATCCTATTTAATTCCTTCCAAAAACAAATTAGTGCATTGACCTGATTTTAACACCTTCTAGACTAGGCACAGTGGCTCACACCTGTAATCTTAGCACTTTGGGAGGCCAAGGTGGGCATATCACGAGGTGAGGAGTTTAAGACCAGCCTGGCCAACATGGCAAAACCCCCTCTCTACTAAAAAATACAAAAATTAGCCAGGCATGGTGGCACGCACCTATAATTGTAGCTATTCAGGAGGCTAAGGCAAGAGAATCACCTGAACCCAGGAGGCAGAGGTTGCAGTGAGCTGAGACTGTGCCATTGCCATTGCACTACAGCCTGGGTCCTGGGTGATGAGAGCAAGACTCCCTCAAAAAACAAACAAACAAACAAACAAAACAAAAATCAAAAAGAAAACTACCTTCCAAACTGTTTGAATGCTGATGATTGTAGATTATATTTTTTTGCTTTGTCTTTTAGAAGTGGATATTATTTAACAGAATGTTACTGAATTCGGAGCTGAGTTTTTAAAATCCCAAGTACTTATTTGGTAATCATGTTTATTTTTAAGGAGTAGTTTAAACAAAGTCTACTAAAGTCAAGTTATAAAGGGTCTGATACTTGATTTACTATTTGTCTTTTTTCTTTTCTTTTCCTTTTCTGAGAGTTAGTCTCACTCTGTCACCCAGGCTGGAGTGCAGTAGCACGATCTCAGCTCACTGCAAACTCCGCCTCACAGGTTCAAGCGATTGTCCTGCCTCAGCCTCCTGAGTAGCTAGGACTACAGGTACCCACCACCACACGCAGTTAATTTTTGTATTTTTAGTAGAGGCGGGTTTCATCATGTTGGCCAGGCTGGTCTTGAACTCCTGACCTCAACTTTGGGATTACAGGCATGAGTCACTGCACCTGGCCAAAGATTCAAATTTTTTAAGAAACAATTACAGGCCTAAATTCAGCTTCAGGCTGGGAGTGGTGGGTCATGAGTGACGGCTCTGAGACCAGCCTGGCCAATGTGGTGAAATCCTGCCTTTACTAAAAATGCAAAAAAAAAAAAAAAAAAAAGGCAGGGCATGGTGGCTCACACCTGTAATCCCAGGACTTTGGGAGGCCGAGGTGGGTGGGTCACTTGAGGTCGGGAGTTCGAGACCAGCCTGACCAACATGGAGAAACCCCGTCTCTACTAATAACACAAAAATTAACCAGGTGTGGTGGTGCGTGTCAGTAATACCAGCTACTCGGGAGGCCGAAGAAGGAGAATCACTTGAAACCAGGAGGTGGAGGTTGAAGTGAGCCAAGATCGTGCCATTGCACTCCAGGGTGGGCAAAAGAGTGAGACTCCATTTCAAATAATAATAATACAAACATTAGCCAGCACGTTGGCGGGTGCCTATAGTCCCGGCTACTCAGGAGGCTGAGGAAGGAGAATCACTTGAACCTGAGAGGCAGAGGTTGCAGTGAGCCGAGATTGTGCCACTGCACTCCAGCCTGGAAAACAGTTGAGACTCCATCTTAAAAAAAAAAAATTGAGGCTGGGCTCGGTGGCTCACGCCTGTAATCCCAGCACTTTGGGAGGCTGAGGTGGGTGGATCATGAGGTCGAGAGATCGAGAGCATCCTGGTCAACCTGGTGAAACCATGTCTCTAGTAAAAATACAAAAAAAAAATTAGCCGGGCATGGTGGCACATGCCTGTAGTCCCAGCTACTCGAGAGGCTGAGGCAGGAGAATTGCCTGAACCCAGGAGGCGGAGTTGCGGTGAGCCGAGATTGCGCCATTGCACTCCAGCCTGGATAACAAGAGTGAAACTCCGTCTCAAAAAAGAAAATTGAATCTTAAAGAACCTACAATCTTTTCAAGTATATATTTGATGATATCTCACTTTTATTAGGCATAGTTCCAAATAATGTTTTCTTTTAAAGCATTTTCAAAATGTAGCATGGCAACTTAGCTTCTCTAAACTTAAGGGAAGTATATCCTTTCTTTTCACTGAAACTGAATTAAAAAGTAAAATCTGGCCGGGTGCAGTAGCTCACGCCTGTAATCCCAGTACTTTGGGAGGCTGAGGCGGGTGGATCACGAGGTCAGTAAATCGAGACTATCCTGGTCAATGTGGTGAAATCCCGTCTCTACTAAAAATACAAAAAATTAGCTGGGCATGGTGGCGAGTGCCTGTAATCCCAGCTACTCAGGAGGCTGAGGCAGGAGAATTGCCTGAACCCAGGAGGCAGAGGTTGCAGTGAGCCAAGATCGAGCCATTGCACTCCAGCCTGGGTAACAAGAGTGAAACTCTGTCTCAAAAAAAAAAAAAAAAAAAAGTAAAATCTATCCATTAAGAAGATAAACTAAGATTGATTGATTTATTTTGAGGCAGGGTCTCACTTAATTGCCCAGGCTGGAGTGCAGTAGTGTGATCTCAGCTAACTACAGTCTCAATCTCCCTGGCTCAAATTATCCTCCTACCTTAGCCTTCTGAGTAGCTGGGACTAGAGGCATGTGCTACTATGCCCAGCTAATTTTTAATTTTTTTTTTTTAGATATGAGGTCTTGCTCTGTCACAAACTGGTCTTGAACTCCTGGCTCAAGCAATCCTGCCTTAGCCTCAGAAACTGCTGGGGTTAAAGGTGTGAGTCACCATGCCCAGCCAAAACCAAGGTTTTAATTAAGTTAGTCTGTTTTTATTTCTTTTAATGCATTATTCAAGTTATTAATGTTAGTGTTACTCCTGACCAAATAATGATTAAAACTACTCCGAAACTTTTTAATGCTAGAGTATTGTGAGTATCATATGTATTTTGTGTTTCCATAGTTTTACAAAGGAAGAGCAAATACTCAAGAGAAAATTATAAAGAGAGCTCAAAGACTTATTAAAAATATGTAAAATGCTTATTATTTTTTCCCTCTTATCTCCCTCATGCGATTCTTAAGAAAGCAGAATCTTTGCCTGGGTGCAGTGAATCACACCTGTACTCCCAGCAGTTTTGGAGGCTGAGGCTGGAGGATTGCTTGAACCCAGGAGTTTGAGATCATCCTGGGCAACATAGACCTCATCTCTACAAATAATTAAAAAAAAAATTAGCTGGGGATGGTGATACACATCTGTGGTCCCAGCTACTTGGTAGGCTGAGGTGGGAGAATTGCTTGAGTCCAGGAGGTTGAGGCTGCAGTGAGTCATGATCACATCATTGCACTTTAACCTGGGCAACAGAGGGAGACCCTGTTTCAAAAAACAGACAAAAAAGTGGAATGTAAAGTCTAGACTAACTGCACTTTTCTCAGGTGTATATTGCTTACAAATTCTACTGTACTTAGAATCTTCAGGCTAACTCACTTCCAGAAAAAAAATGTTCAACTGAGGCTTGGTTCAACCAACATTATTATAATGGTTTCTTTTACCTTTGAGAATAGTATATGGAAATAAGAGTTGTGAGCCACTGTGCCTGGCCACAACCTTCAATTATTTAGATAGTTGTTATATCCATAGTCTTCCTAAGGCTGCTATATCTTTAAGTTTTCTGAGCCTTAACATTTGATGGTTTATGTAATATGTATCCTAAGTGAGTTTCTCTGAGTCCCTTGTGAAAGGGACTATGTCTTTTGTAGTGTAAATTTCTCAGGCACATAAATGGTATGTTTGGCTAAATTTCTTCTCATTGACTCCACACATTCACTAATTGTTACACTGGTTTTGGTATTTTATTTTTTGAGACAGAATCTGGCTCTGTTGCCCAGGCTGGAGTTCAGTGGTGTGATCTCAGCTCACTGTAACCTTCACCTCCCAGGTTCTCCTGCCGCAGCCTCCCAAGTAGCTGGGATTAACAGGTGCCCACCACCACACCCAGCTAATTTTTTTTTCAGTAGTGATGGGATTTCACCATGTTGGCCAGGCTGGTCTTAAACTCCAAACTCCCGACCTCAAGTGATCCACCCACCTTGGCCTCCCAAAGTGCTGGGATACAACAGGCTTGAGCCACCATGCCTGGCCTAGTTCTGGTATTCTATGTTTGAAGATGCCAATGTAACTCTAACAATATTTAAATATTAATTCCTGTAGTAATATTTAAATATTAATAATTGAGTCAGCATATTGGGTTTCCCAAAAATATATATTAGATATGTTAAGTTTTTAAATGATTACAAAGGGCAATTAAAAAAATGAAGACAGCTTTCAAGAGAGTGGGAGAAAAGGTTGGAAGTTCCATACTTACCTGTAGGGTGAAGGTACTGTACTGACTTAATGAGGGCTATTTGAGATCCAGCCTAGATCTGAGAGCACTGTCTTATAG